CATGGGGGCTTCCCGTGGGCAGTGCAGCCCGGGAGGAGACGCACTCAGCTCAGGCTGCAGGGTTTCCTGTGCACGGTACAGTGTTTCACATAAAACAACAAGACCTGGGACTTCCTGGTGGTCCAGTGGTTAAGAATCCACCTTCCAATGCTGGGGACTCAGGTTTGATCCCTGGTGAGGAACGAAGATGCCACATGCCAAGAGGCAACTAAGCCCGTGTACCACAAGGACTGAGCCTATGCCCCAAAACGAAAGATCCCTCATGACGCAACTAAGACCCAACACAGCCAAATAAATAAATATTGAAACAAACCAAAAAACTCAATGAGAGGAGGTGGGTGGGAGGGAGGTTCAAGAGGGAGGGAACATATGTATACCCATGGCTGATTCACGTTGCTGTTTGGCAGAAACCAATACAATTGGTTGGTTGTAAAGCAGTTATCCTTCAATTAAAAATAAATAAATTCAATTATATATTAAAAACCCAATGAGATCTGCCTCAAAACAGACAGGGCCAGGCAAATTAGGTCACACACTTGTGCTTCTGGTTCTCTGCAGTCTGTTTAGGCTTTAAGCAAGAATGGCCCCCAGAGCTGTGGATCCATCATGTGAGTTGACCCTTCTTGAGAAATGCAAAGCTGAAAAAAGGAGTCAGTGTTTGACTCGGTGATGAGAGCTTCCCCGTTATGGACCAAACCATCCTCACAACTTAAATCTTCCTACACCCACTTGAAAACTGGAATGTTTTCTCTGACTCAATGTTTTATTTAAAAGAAAGGGGCCCAGAAACTCTAGATGAATGAAGATTCCAAAGCGTTGGTGGAGAGGTGCTGGCTGCAGGTGGAGGGGGCATGGTTGTGGCTAGCTGGCCGAGGCTCTTTTGTCCTCAGTGAGTGGCAGCAGGCTGGTCCCTGGGGGCCCAGCTCAGGTGGACTGACCCACCTGGAGCACTGGGTGGAGTCTGCCTTGCTCTTGAGCTCTGCAACCAGCCACGCGCTCCTGCTCCTAGGGTGGGGCCTGGCTACAGGTGCAGTGGGTTATAAGGTCTGCAGTGATGCATTTGCCTCAGGACTTTAGCACTCTTTGCGGTGCCAAGGGCTTCATGGCTTCACACGAACTCGTCCTAAGATTCCAGTGTCCATGCAGTGAGGTGGCGAAGGTAGCCTTGAAGAGGCTGCCCCTGGGGAATCAGGCCCGGGTGTTTTATGTGCATGTTATGTACTAAGTCACTCAGTTGTGTCTGACTCTTTGTGATCCTATGGACTGTAGTCCAACAGGCTCCTCTGTCCATGGGATTTCCCAGGCAAGTATACTGGAGTGGGTTGCCATGCCCTCCTCCAGGGGATCTTCCCGACCCAGGGATCGAACCCACATCTCTTTTGTCTCCTGCATTGGCAGGCGGGTTCTTTACCACTAGTGCCATCTGGGAAGCAGGTTTTATGGTCCTGGATAAAACCACTCACCAACTCCATCAGGTAGTTTTAGACGTGAGTTAACAGTGTGGCTGGACCTGTGCCTGGACGGTTGACCCCGAGTTGCCTGCGAGGACCTGAGGGTTGGCACCCCAACCCCACACACGTGTGACCACCACCACCTTCCCGTCCACTCCACAAAAACATAACAAAACCTGGCAATGGGCGCGCCTGCTGCCTGACCCGCTTGCCAGGCTCATTTCAGACCAGAACTCAAGAGCTCCAGGTGGCAGCTGTAGTGGTTAAACTCCCTCAGTCCGGATCTGCGTCCAGCTAGACCAACCTCATGTGGGTCAAAGACCCCCCACCCCTTCCTCTCATCACCCTTCCCACGGCTTCCCGACCCTGAGCCTTTATAACAGGCCAGGAGTGAAGTGGTCTAGCACTGGTAAGACCATTTCTGCTGAGTCACATGGACCCAGCTCCAGTTTCTGCAGATAAAAAAAAAACAGAGCTGCCCCGTGGCTTCACCAAGTACCTGATAGCCGCGAGGAGCTAAGTAAAAACATCTGCATAAAAATAACCAAGACCGGAAGTGCTGGGAAAACAGATTCTGTACATGCTAAGCAGACTGACTGGGGTTTAACGATAAAGTGTGGTTGCACCCAACCGGAAGCAACTTGAGGAAGTACTGAGGGTGGAAGAGAGGCCCAAGGGGTCCATTTGGAAAACAGGCAGGACAGAGCAGTCACATTCCACTGAGTGCCTTGAAAATGTGAATTGGGAAACTCGAAATAGCAACTGCCACCCTGGGTCCAACCCAGAGAGTTTGTTCAGCCCCGTGTTCTTGAATTGGAAAAAAAAATGTATCATTGAACAGTTTTTTAATTCAAATATATGCTCAGTACTGACTTATGTCAGGGACTTCCCCATGGTGTCACCCCACCTCCAGCCAAATGTGCCCTATTTAGTCCCTCATGAGATGCCTACAGCCGACATCCAAGTTCAGAGGTGAACCCCATCCCCACCACTCTCCACCAGGCTGTCATGCGTACATGTAAGTCAAGCCTGGATTTGTGAGCAGAGATGGGTTCTCACAGTTGGAAAATGAAACCATGCGTTATTTAAGTTCCTTTTCACTTAATGCGTCAAAGTAATATGCGGAGGTATTTTCTGTATCACGAGGGACCATTTGGTAGAGGCTTTCATGGAGTAAGCATTTAGTGTTTATTGAATGAATGTGTAATAAAGCTGAATCACTGAACACTCAAGTAAACATGGCTTATTAGAGGGGAGGTAGCATGATGTCAGGAAGAAGAAATCATGCCTCGGTAATCTCCTTGAGTTCTTTGAGCAGATATATAAGCATATGGATAAGAGAACTGCAGAGCCCAGTTTAATTTGACTTTCAAAACCTATGAGAAAATCCCACTCTAAAGATGGTCTTCTAAAAACTGAGTCACTAAGAATTGTTTTTATAATGAATATGGGGTTGGCTTAAAGACCATAAACTAAGCTGAAGATAAGTGGATATATTCCCAGATGGAAAAACATTGGGGTTTCCTAGAGATCTGATTCTTGATGGATCTTCTTACATGTTTGTGAATGACTTACAAGAGGAAGAGTATATAATGAATCTCCAAGTGCCACCTCAATCATCTGGGGAGAAGATTAAGGTGATGGAGAGTCAATTCAGTTTGAACAAGGGTATATTGAATACTGAGGAGTCATCATGTGGTTGGGCCCTGGGGTATAAAATAGAAGGATAAGCTTAAAGTTAATCAAGTTAGGGTGAAAGTCATGCATTCATTTACAGTAAATAGTCGAAGGCACAATGGGAGTGACTGAGAAAATGATGGCAGTGACATAGTCCAGGGCTGCCCAGCCTCTGGGATCTAATGCCTGATGATCTGAGGTGGAGCTGATGTAATAATAACAGAAATAAAGTGCACAATAAATATGATGTGCTTGAATCACTCTGAAACTATTCCCCACACAAAGCCTGTTGAAAAAATTATCTTCCATAAAACTAGTCCCTGGTACCAAAAAGGTTGGGTACCACTGATGCAGATGATCAATGCTGTTACACTTAAGAGAGGTGGGGATAGTAAATAAGAGTTGAAGTAGGGAAAGTTTAATGGGGGAGAAAGAATTTGAGGAGAGCCTGGAAGAATACCAAGGGTTTGGATAGGTGTAGTAAAGGTGAGGGATTCTCTTGTTAATAGCAATTGGACATGCTACTCTGGGACTGGAAGGTGAGTGTGTTTGGGGCAAGTAACCAATTACTCCATGAAACCTTAACAATCCAGAAACATCACCTAGGCAGGTGTTACAATAATGGCAGTAGAAAAAGCCCTGGACTTGAGTTGGGAGATAGCACATGGATTCTATTAATCTTCCTCCTATAACCTGAGTCTTATTTCTTTGTCAGTAAAATACAAATGATAACTGTACCAATCTCATAAGTTTCTGTGAAATTTAATGCGAAGAAATACTCTGGACAGCTCAACCAGTACAGAACACAGGTGGGCACTAATTTCTTTAATAAGACAGTCTCAGCCACCTCACCTCTAAGAAGCCTTTCCCTTTTCCCATTTTGGGTGAAGCAGCGTTTTCCATACTCACCATTCTGTATTATACTGGTTTTCTTCCTCTCTGCCTCTGTCATTAGCCTATGAGCTCCTCGAGGACAATCCTGAGTTTTCTATCTCTTTCTAATCCGTACCTAGACAGTGCCTGGTATATATCACAAGTGTGCAAAGGTTGGTCAAATAACCAACAAAAGAGTGAATACATTGCTTACTATTACTGTAAGAATGGAAGATGAGTTTAATTTGACAAAAAAAAAAAAGATTGGCACATAGAGATTTTATGAATTCTCACAAGCAACTGTTTATTCATTCACTTTAGACTATTTTCCAAAAGTCAGCATGAAGGCTGTTGATCATCTCTATTAGGATTCTTATCTCCTCATTTTTGGAAAATACGGATAGCCCTGACCTGTGCCATTGTCTGTCATCTCTTCCATTCTTTGGGCTTTCTCATCAAAAACAAAGAGTAGGATATGTACTGGGCAAAAAAAAATGGAATATGTACCTCCTTTAGTGGGCTAGAGACATGTTACTTGGTGATGAATTTCCCTCCTCATGTTACTTGTCTTCCTTTTCCAATCTTAAGAGGTTGATACTCACTGGGAAAGCTGTAAGCACAGGAGTCTTGAAATGTTACTTTCCCTCTGATATTTATTAACCTTCCTTGGTCTTCCTCAGACGCTTGACCTATGCTCTCTGGATTCCTCTAGGTTTGAACACAGCTTTAAACACCCTCCCGGTTTCAGCAGTTTTATCAGCTACCACTTCTCTTGAGCTTTTGCTTTCTTGAAGCGTTTTTTAAATGTAAATGCTATTCTCTTGTAAAAGGCCTGTACATCTCTTTTGAAAACTCAAATTCACTGGGGAGCTCAGTTTTGAGTTGAACTGATCTAAACCCTGTAAGAGGCCCAATCACGTCCCTGTTAGATGTGATGTGTGGTCCTTGCATCTTAGAAGGATTCCCCCTCCATCCATATGCAGAAAGAAAATTACATACCATTCTGTTGGTAAAGTTACTGAACTTCTCAACCAACACCTGCTCAATCATGTCTGGCTCAGAGATAACAATAAACATCCGACGACCAAGATAGTACCTGGGAGGAATAAGAGAACTACTTTAAAATGTTTAAGTTAAAATGACTTTAAATTAAATTTAAATTAAAAATGATAAATGTCGTATTTGTCTGTTCTCTTCTCCTTTCCAGAAAGAATTCACAGTGGCTTAGAATCAGGGATAAAGGATAAATAGGGAGTGAAGGTGTGGAGAAGATGAGGAAATGCACGTGCTAAGTGTGAGGAACGGCAGAGCTCTGATGACCTAACACCAAACTTCATTCCACAAACATTTATGGAATCCCACCTGGTACCAGTCCCTGGAGACTCTGGGGTGAATAAGAGACAGTCTTTAGCCCCAGGAAACTTGCCCCCTTGATAGGAAAGACAGATCTGTAAGTTTAAACACAATAATAAAGAATTTATAGGATACAGTAGTAAGACCAAGAAGGAAAATGGTACAGGTCAATGTTGTCCCCATTTTCCAAAATCGGGGAGACAGGCATTCTAGCAAGAGAAGATCAGTGACTTGTATATACTGATTCTTAGGCAAAAGATAAACCTTTATGAGATAAAGTAGTGATAAACCTTTATGAGAATTCAGGGAAGATTAAACTTGCAGGGAAAGACCGAACAACGGGGTGCTACACCTACATGTGAAGGAGCTCAGGAGATACTATGACACTAATGAAGAAACAGAGGGACTTCCCTGGTGGTCCAGTGGTTAAGACTTAGCCTTCCAATGCAGGGGATGCGGGTTCAATCCCTTGTTGGGGAGGCTAAGATCCCACACACCTTGGGGCCAAAAGCCCAGAACATCCAACAGAAGCAATATTATAACAAATTCAATAAAGACTTTGAAAATGATCCACATGAAAAAAGTCTTTAAAAAAAAAAGAAATGGAGGAAAATCTAAGCCAGTTAGCAGTGGTGGTAAATGCCAAAAGGAAGCTGTTTAAGGACATATTGTCATTTATTTATTAAATAAATTTTGCTATTTATTAAAGTGCTGGGGACACAAAAGCATCTAAGACCCAGTCATAGCCTTCAAGGGTCTCAGAGCCTGGTGGCAGTGGCAATTAGATAATCACCATCCACTGTGACATCTGGCAAGTATGGGTGACACTGGGGGCACACCCCACTGAAAGCGTGAAGAGAGAATGAAATCTTCCTTGAGGTGGTGCTTCCTAACGTGAGTTTCAAAGGATGGACAAGAATTAGTCCAGATAGGTGGGTGGCAAAGGGGAGTGAGGGTGTGGCAGGCAGAGGAATCAGTTGACAATTCCCCGGGGACAAGCATGCCTGGAAGAGCTATAAGCTCTTGACTAGCAACTGTATAAAGCCAACCAGAGTGATGACAAGTTACCCCACTGCATAATGCCATGTTTTCAGTCCTGTGTATGGAATTATTTTTCAGGATGTTATTTGATCACTGGCACATCCAGTTCCGAGTGGTAAAGAGCAGAGCAGTTTAAGTCATGTGGCAAGAAAGCAGCAAAGTTTGCTCTGACTTCTTAGTTACTTAGAACTTTTCATAAGCTAAAAGAGTCTTTAATGTTTTAACTCTTCCCCTTCTTACTAACTAGGGAAAAAATAATATTTGTCTGGCACATGTCAGGCACTCAGAAATATTCATCTGAGTGATCATATTTCCCAAACTGTTAGAGAAATCTTTGGGACACAGGAATTCAACAGATGTGGTAGAAGAAAAAATATTCACTAGTTTGTTTTTTAAAAATTGATTTTAGCCAAGAAGACCAGAAATAACCCCCAAAAAACCAATGCTTGTATAAACTTTATAGGGCATGTCATAGAATTTTTTTGAGAATCTGGTAAAAACTGTGGACATTTCCCCAAGACATTTCCCTTTCATAGCATTTTAAAATGAAATTTGAGGAATTCTTCAACACCTGAAATGAAAAAAGCCAATCTAGGAAGGTTACATATTATATGATTTCATTTATATGTTTTTGAAACAACAGTGAGATTAGTTGTTTCTAAAGGAAAAGAGATGAGTAGATTCTAAACTCTGGGGGTGTGGGGGGTGTGATAGGGTGGTGTGACTGTAAAAAGTAACACAAGAGAGACTTGTGGTGACCGTTTTGTATCTTAATGTACAGTAGTGGTTATACAAACCTACACATCTGATAAGACTTCAGAGGATTCTACACACACACACACACACACACACACACACACACACACACACACACACGAAGGCTTGAAAATCTGATAAAGTCTGAATAAGTATGGATCATGCTGTGTGTGCTCAGTAGCTTCAGTTGTGTCCAACTCTGCGATCCTATAGACTGTAGCCTGCCAGGCTCCCTCATCCTTGGGATTCTCCAGACAAGGATACTGGAGTGGGTTACCATGCCTCCTCCAGGGAATCTTCCCAACCTAGGGATTGAACCTGCAGCTCTTGCATTGCAGGCTGATTCTTTACCTACTGAGCCACCTGGGAAGCCCATTATGGATTGTATCAATGTTAATTTCCTGGTTTTGATGATGTACTGTAGCTATGCAAGAGGTAATCATTGGGGGAAACAGGGTAAAGGGTACACAGGATCTTTTGTACATTTTTTTGCAACTTCCTGTAAATCTATACTTCTCTCAAAAAATTTCAAATGTTTAAAAGTCACTTGGAAACTTAAACTATAGACACAGCTCTGTTCCTCCCTGGAGCAGATCTAGTAGGCTGGGAGGAGCCCAGAAATCTGCATTTGAACAGGCTCTCCAGATTCTGATGTAAAGGACTACTCCCACAATTCATGAAATGCTGTTCTAGGGCAGTGGTTTTCGGCCTCAAGGACTGGTCAAAAGCCCCGGCCAAGGATTCAAAAAGTAGTGATGCCTGACCTCCTGACCAGCATCTCTGGGGTGGGACCCAGTCCCTTCTAACTTTAATAAGCTCTCCAGTAACCAGTACTGGATCGACAGTAACCAGATTGGGGGACCCACAAACCCCATGTTAAAAACCCCCGCTTTAGATTTAACTAAAGCTCATGCTGTGATTCTCATTTCCCTAAATTCTTAGTTCTAAAAGGAAAGCATTTACATTAGATGCACACCTATTTTGGTAATGATTCATTTGTATTGATTTAGTTATTACCAAAATAATTTTACAGTAAGTTCAGTCGCCCAGTTGTGTCCAACTCTTTGCGACCCCATGGACTGCAGCATGCCAGGCTACCCTGTCAATCACCAACTCCCGGAGCCTACTCAAACTCATGTCCATATAATCTGGATTTCAAAAAAAAAAAAACTAACCCAAATAATACTTCTACATTCAGATGAAAGTTGTCCTTCCAAGTGGGCACCTTGGGAGCCTTTGAGCTTTTTTCTAGTAATGTTGCTAATGCTAAAAACAATTTTGTCACCATTTCTTTAGAATTGCTTCAGAGCTGGTTTATGAACCTTGTGAGAAAACTGGCCCCATTTTACATGTAAATTGTGTAATCTTATGGATTTATATTTATACAAACACTCATCTGTAGTTTGAGGAGCTCCTGGAAAGATCTTAATCAGAGAAACCTTTAAATGAAGCTTGTTTTTCCTTTCGGATGTCTGAATGGCTGCCCTGTTTTTGTCTGCCCAGCCCTCCTTGAGGAAGCACCCTCCCCCATACCACCAGTTCTGGAGGAGCTGTCGATGGCAGAGCCTGCCCTTTTGGCCAAGGGGGTGGACTCACCATCAGGCATGGCTGATTACGGTATCTCATCTCCTTGACAACAGTGACTGGTCCACAGGGTGGGTGCATGACTGAGTCAGGACCAGTCAGAATCCTTCATTGGGTGTATGTGTAAGTATATACTTGGAGGCTGCTTGACGAAAGCTCTGTTTTTCTCCTGAAGGTGCTTAACTAGGAATATATGACCAGTCAGTGGCCATCTTTGTACCACATGCTGGCACAAACTCCAGGTCAAGATATGCTTCCTGCAGTATTCCTTGCATCTTCCAAGCTTAAATTAGTTTGCACTTTTAAGTGTGTTTGAGCTGGATTTCTATCATTTGTAATCTAGAAGTCCTAAATATTGCAAGGTATTCCTTTTCCTTTTCAACCTTGTGAATACCTAATGCCATTCTGCCTCTCAAAACATACTTCCCCAAGAGGCTCTGATCTTGGAGACTTCCCCGGTGGTCCAGCAGTTAAGAATCTGCCTTCCGATGCAGGGGACGTGCATTTGATCCTTGGTAAGGAAACTACGATTCCACATCCTTTGGGGCAACTAAGCCCATGGACTTCAACTACTGAGCCCCCCGTGCTCTGGCCCACGGGCCTCAATGAAGGTCCTGCATGTCACACGAAGACCCAACAAAGACAAAAATATAAACAATTTTTTTCTTTTTTTAAAAAAAAGAGGGTCTGATCTCAGTTTTGTGCACTGGTATGAATGTATGGCCACATGTCACTGCCTCCTGAGGTGGGGTGAAAGTGGTAGAGGCTCAGTCGTATCTGACTCTCTGTGACCTCTTGGACTGTAGCCCACCAGGCTCCTCTGTCCACGGGATTCTCCAGGCAAGAATACTGGAGTGGGTAGCCAGTCCCTTCTCCAGGGATCTTCCCAATCTAGGGATGGAACCTGGGTGTCCTGCATTGCCAGCAGATTCTTTACCATCTGAACCACCAGGAAGCCCTGAGGGGGTGGAATACTGCAAAGCCACATGCCCTAGGGCCAGGTCAGGATCCAGGATCACCCAGCTCTGCTGCTTACTCATACAAGCCTTATAGGTGGACTCTGGAAATTCTGCATTTCAGCTTCCTTGCCCCTGAAACATGGGAGTAAAACCACGCAACAGTTTGCTCTGCTTTAAATCCTGTAGTTCTTATGCATTAAAAAGGAAGTTAAATAATGGTCTTTGAATTTTAAGTCTACTTTCTATAGGGCATAGAGAGTAAAGCAGTTAGTCCTAAAGGAAATCAACCCTGAATATTCATTGGAAGGACTGATGCTGAGGCTCCAATCCTTTGGCCACCTGATGTGAAGAGCCAACTTATTGGAAAAGATCCTGATGCTGGGAAAGATTGAAGGCAGGATGA